ACATGAGGGGTGTGGGGGGTGGGGGCAATGCTCAATTTCCTAACAAAGAAATAGAAAAAAAATACTCTCTAGGATTGAGAAAAGCTGTATAATTGACACAAATAATATAACAACATAGTCTAACCTGCTGTTGTTCTCGACATGCCTTGGGAACCTGCCTTCAGTTTTCTTTTATTAACACGGACAGGGAGCAATGAAAGGTGAGAAGGTTATAGGAACACTGAAGGGCTCTCTTCCCCAGAGGTGAGAAACAGTAAAAGACCAGTTCCACCAAATTAATAAACAAAGGATAGGGGAGAAATTGTCTCATGAATTTGCATGACATAGAGAANCCAAATTAATAAACAAAGGATAGGGGAGAAATTGTCTCATGAATTTGCATGACATAGAGAAGCAATTAATTACTCAAACCTTAGAGAAGACTGTTGATCTGAAGGATACTGACTGGCCTTTCCAATACCTGGTCTCATGAACTAAATACTTCAGTTTTCTATTTTCTTTTGGGCCTAGAGAACATGTTTAATCACTGAGGCAAGAGGACAATGACATGTCTGCAGCTGTTCCTTCGAACGTGTTAATCACACTCAAAGGCCGACTGCTTGTCTACTTGCTTACCTTTACTTATACTTTCTAATCCCCAACTATTCTTAATATATATCCCAATTATCCACCTACAAATAAATTCGGTTGCNGAAAAATGAAAGACCCTCTTTAACCCGACTTGCTTGGATCCTTCCCACCAACAGGTGAACAAGGATATCGTGTCAGGCTTGAAATACGTTCAGCACACCTACCGGACCGGAGTGAAAGGTAAGAGAAACCACATTTCACACTGTCCCAAGCTGCTTCTCACTGGTTATTAACAATTACCAGTCATAGGCTCATGTAAGAATCTGATAAAAGCTGTGGATGCTCCCTCTAGGAAAAGGCACACGTACACCTCTGCCCTAAACCTTAGTGGCAAGGCCAGTGCTCAGGAGCCCTAATTAAGACCAGGTCATCCACTAACCTTCAGCATTCAGCTTCTGAAATTCGGTTTTATTACTCATATAAAGGAAGAGTAGCCAAGATAATTCTGAATGACATAAAGTACATAAAAATACTCTCAAAAGCAAAAATAAAAAGCAGTTCACAGGTATAAAATCCAACTGTCAGAGAAATCAAAGGCTGGAAAGACTGTACAGTGATATGTGTGTTGGGGGTGGGGCGTGGGGGTGACATGAGGGGTGTGGGGGGTGGGGGCAATGCTCAATTTCC